AGTCAAAGAAATAGGATTAGTACCTGGAAGCAACTCGATAGTGAACTCCAAATCACGATCTGGTGGTAACCCAGGCAAATCCTCGGGGAAAACATCTGGAAAGTGTCGGACGACCCTCACGTCCTCAACACTACAAGGAGGAGCCTCATCCAACACCACATGGGCTAAGTACCCCTGACAACCCTTAGTCAACAACTTTTTCGCTCGTAACGCCGAAATAACACCATGTCTCATCCCACTCTGCTCACCAACAAAGGTAACCACGGGTAGTCCAGGACGACGAAATGTAACTATCTTCCCGTAACAATCAATATTGGCACGATTGGGGTGCAACCAATCCGCGCCCAAAATCACATCGAAATCAACAATATCTAACGGGATAAGGTCAGCTGGCATCATCACACCCTCAACTATCACTGGACACCCCGGGTACACACGATCTACTACACATCTCTCCCCTCTAGGCATAGCGAACTCTAAATCATACCCTAGAGGTGTGGGGCGAGGTTGCGTCACTTGAGCAAATGTATGAGAAATCACAGAATGTGTAGCTCCACAATCAATTAAGACTCTAGCAAAATAACCAAGAATATTTAACGTACCCATAATCAGATTCGGGTTGTTCTGAGCATCCTGCAGAGAAATGTTGTGTATACGCCCCTGGCCCTGCTGCCGTCCGCCACGACCTCTGCTCGCCTGAGCACCACGACCCTGCGTACCACGCCCCTGACTGGGCTGACCGGTCTGTCTCGAAGACCCTGCACTGCTAGTAGCAATCTCTCCTGGCTGAATCTGTCCTCCCTGATACCATTGAGAACCGCCGGCTGAAACTGGAGGATACGGCATATAGCCGCCCGAATACTGAGGGTAACCACTCTGGGAGTAGGGGTCCTGAGGATACTGATACTGTCCCGGGGCATAGGGAACAGCATCACCCTGGTAGTGGTAGGCACCACCTCGACCTACCTGTCCGTAGCCACTAGGACCTTGAATCTGCTGGATAGGGGCAGGTGGTGGCAGGAAAGTCTGCTGCGGTCTCTGCTGCTGACTCTGGGGACATTGCGCGGCTCGATGCCCCATCTGCCCGCAAGTGAAACAACCACTACTGCCCCGCCTACACTCGCCAGTGTGCCGATTATTACACCTTCGGCAAAGTGGGGCCCTACCTCGACCACCGTCCCCCTGTCTCTGGCCTCGAAAGCCACCAGTAAATCTACCTCCTCGTCCTTGACCCGTGGCACTGAAACCACCACTAGAAGAACTAGAGCTGTTACCACCCCTCTTAAAGTTTTGAGTCTGACGAGGCCCGAGCGATGCCTGACCTTTACCTTTGTCGTCCTTCTTCTGATTACCACTCTTCTCATTCTCATCACTCTCACTCGTCATATTTTCAGAGTCCTCGACTCTCAGCAAAACCTCGTAGAACTCCTGGTAGGTATCACAATGAGTGGAGGTCGACATCGAACGCCACTTCTTCTTAGTGCCGATGCGAAAATGGCAAAGCATCTCCGCTGGGTTACTAGCAATCTCAAGGTGGTAGCGAGATAAGTCGGTAAACTTCCGATAATACTCGTTCGCAGACATCTTCCGCTGTTTCAACTTGGTGAATTCCTGTTTCTTGCGATCAATATACTCTGGGGGCACAAATCTCCTCTTAAATAGCCTAATGAAAACATTCCAGTCCGTCTTCTCGGCTGGAGTCAAACTACGAAGCTCCTGCTCCCACCAGGATGCAGACTCCGTACCCAGAAACCATGAAGTCGTCTCGACCCATCTCTCAACAGGGAGATTCCCCTGATTGTTCAACACTCGGAAAGTCTTCTCAATATGCTCCAACCAACGCTCCGCGGCCTCGTGCCCCTCGTGACCGTAGAACTTATCCAATTTCAGATTGTACATAGTTTCCAGAGGAGTCCTCTGGGGAGGGCGGATAGCTGCCTGGATAGCAGTAGCAATAGCTTCCCCCAGCTGAGTGATATCGGGGAAACTAGATTCATCTGAACGGCGTGGTTCCCGACGAGGCGGCATAATTCTGACAGAAGGCACCAAAACCATTAGAATACTCACAAAAGACACAGGACTACCAAACCTAGGCTCTGATACCAAACTGACACACCCCGACCGAGATCAGGGCATGCTGGCCGTCACGTGGAAGTGACGTAGCCATGTGCACAGTGCGGAAGCTAAAAACAGTAATATAAAAGTACGAATAATTTAAAAACTAGCAATTATAGAGTGATAGAATATGTGCTAGCGTAATTAAGACACTGAATTCAGAGCATAAGGCCTACAGCAGTCCAAAAGAAACAATACAACAAAAGTACACCCGAAGGTGACCCTACGTAGGTGAGTATCTGTCAGAATGCCGGGACGTCCTCCCGGGAAACCACCAAACCCTCTAAGCTACTAGAACCTGGAGGGGCGCAAAAACAAAAGCGTGAGTGGGCAAAAACAAATTCTTTGAAAGCCATTTCATAAAATACATTCTAACCCCTCGCCGTAAAACCTGTATACTTCCCAGAAAATAAACATATATACGTAGGTATAAATATGCCAAGTATGCTCAAGGTATGCCAACATGCTCAAAGCCTCAATATAACATGCAAGTGCTCAGGTATGTACATCACATCGATATTATAATAATCTGGCAGCCGGAGTCCCCTAAGTGACCTGTACGGCTGAATCTAGAGCTCAAATCTCAAATTCCATAACTAACCTGCCCACGAGTCGGAACCACCTAAAGTGGTCTGTACGACAGGCCTGGGTGTAAAACATATAAACGCTCTAGTGCTACGATCACGTGAAGGCTGTGCGAATAATCGCGGGTCACCTACGAGTCGGAACCACCTATAGTGGTCTGTACGACAGAACTGTGCACCTAACTTGGATTCAAGCTGAGCGTGTGGTGCGGGAGGTGAACAACACGTGAAGGACTGTGCCCTACTCTGGGCGGGAGCACTAACACCGGGGGTGCAGGTTATGAGCTCTCTAAGCATCTCTAACCGTTATTTAATGCAATCGTTAAATAATGCTTACCTGGCTACTTACCTACGCCTCCACAGCACCAACATATATAATGCAATCACAATTGGATATGTACTTAAACGTATATGCCACTAATCATGCATAACCATCAATCGTATAAAAATAATGGCGTAAAACGAAGCATTTATACTAATTTCTGGGAAATAACATGTATATAGGTATATACGGAAAACAAAAGCCCACTCACTGGTATGTAGAAGGGTCGTAGCCCCCCTGCCTCGAATGTACACGCTCGTCCTCGGGATACGTGTCACCTATATGCGAATTAACTATAAAAACGTTAACTTTAAAGCACATAACCGTTCGTTCAAAATAACTTCTCATACATTGCTCAAAATGGACAATTGAATATACCAACGTGATCTACACAACCTCACGATCACAACCATATTTTTAAAATAATTTTTGGACCCCGCACGCGCCCCCACGCGCCAGCACAGACACGGACCCACGCGCCCCCACACGCGGCCACGTGCCATGCACGCTGACGGCGTCAAGTGACGCCGTCAGGAATATTCCCTGGAACTGACGGAATATTCCGTTAACCCTAACTGACGCCGTCAACGTCCGTTAGGAATATTCCGTTAAACCCTAACGGAATATTCCCCTGTCTTCTCCGGCCATCCCCCCTCGTCGGCGCCGTCGCCGAAAACCTGCAACTCGCCATATCTCACTCGTTTTTCAACCGTTTTTCAAGATTTTTGCACCATTTCAACCCTTAGGACTAGTAGAACACGATCCTACAAGTTTTAAGGCCTAAAACTACGAGAAAATACCTGTCCAAGTTTCCAAAACTCGGCCAACTTCGAACCAAGCTTTCCCGACGTCCAAATTTGTCCAACGAAGTACTCCCAAGCTTATGGGAACCTCACAAACACAACTACAAGCTTCAAAAGTCCAAAAACAAGCTAGATTAAGTTTGCATGAACAGTGTTCAAAACGGAAAACCTCGAATCAACGTGAAAATGGTGGTTTCCCTACCTGAAAATGGTACCACCGTGCTCCCCTCGACCTCACGATCACAACTACACCCTTGGTTTCCTCGATCTATGTGAAAAAATGGTGGATGTGTGTGTGTCCGTACCAGTTTAAGGGAGAGGAAGAAGAAGAAGAATAAGGACTCGGGGGAGAGAGAGAGAAAAGTCAGAGGGAGAGGGAGAGAAAGCAAGTGTGGATGTGTGTGTGTGACCCAACACATGTCCACACCACACAAAACACCGAAAACATAATAAGACAATCTAGGGGTAGAACGGTAAATTTACATGTACGGTTCGAAACTTCCGAGACGGGATGTCACAGACTGTTGATGACATTGGAGGCTACTCATCTTTTTTAATTAATTATTTAATTAATCAAAGTGTTTGTTCCTAATTTCCTATCGACGGATATATTGAATATCGATATAGACATCTATAGCTTTTAATGGAAATAATAGAAATTTAAAATGAAATTTTAGGGATTGTCAAGCATTAGTTTTGACAAAATATAAAATTTCTTTGATATTTAACAGATATGTAAAAAATATCGACGATATATGCCGATTTTAACCTAAACTAAAGAGTTTCTTCGATAAAAGGTGAAGTTTAGACGTAACCCCAATTTCTATATCTTCTGTAAGAATATTTCTACGAAAATATCAACTTTATCGAAGAAATTTTTAAACCATGATTATGTCTAATCCGCCGCCTGTCAAACGTCTCCATATTTGTCGTCTCAACTTGAAATAATTTTTAGGAACGAGCCGAGTATTTATCGAAAAATTAAAAATAAACAAAAATTAAAAAGAAATCATCGCCTAAGAGGTTCAAACCTTAACCTACTCGGCCCAAGCGACTGTTGATGACTTTGCAGGCCACTCATCATTTTTAATTAATTACTTAATTAATCAAAGTCTTTTGTTCCTAATTTCCTATCGTTTAGTGATCTTTATATTTATCTTCACCCTATTCACAATGTTAGTTGAATTATTTGTGCCGGCCATGACCATATTATGCATTATATATCTTCACCCTAATTTACTCTCATCGCAATAACCTACTCATGCAAGATCATTAGTAGTACCAGTAGTTGCACTAGAAGCAAACAATATAAATCGGTGGCGGCGGCGGCGAATATGGAGGAGGAGCAGATGGCACAGTTGCGCGAGATCTTCCGATCGTTTGACGGCAACAAAGACGGCAGCTTGACCGAGCCGGAGTTGGGGTCACTGCTGCTGTCGCTTGGGCTGAAGCCGAGCCATCAGCAGCTGCAGGCTCTGATTCGAAAGTCGGATACCAACCACAACGGATTGGTCGGGTTCTCGGAGTTCGTGGCGCTGATGAGGCCGGACCTCAATGGACTCTTACAAGACGACGCCAGGTGCCCGTGTTCGTACAGTGAGGATCAGTTGAGGGAGATGTTCAGCATGTTCGACAGGGACGCCAACGGGTACATCAGCCCGGCGGAACTGGCCCACTCGATGGCCAAGCTGGGCCACCCACTCACGGTTCAGGAGTTGTTCGGCATGATGAACGAGGCGGATACCGACCGCGATGGCCGTATCGATTTTCACGAGTTTTCCAGGGCCATCACCTCAGCCGCTTTCCTTAATATCAATGCTTAATTGAGTGCATATTTTGATGATGAATGAATCAGTATTATTCAAATAGCAACAAGTTCATATGCATCATGCATGTATTGTAATTATTTCCAGAAATTAATGAGTAGGTTTTTGTTTTTCAATATACTTTTGAAATCGGAGAGATATAGATTAATACTTTTGAAAAGTTCATATATAGATTTAAAAGAGACTTAGAAATTTACAAATCAAATGGTCAACACCTCCAATCAATATAGAAACTGTAATTATCTGTCGTCGTATTATTTATACAAATAGAAAGGTAAGTGTGTGTGTGTGTGTATCTGTCATCATATATATATATATATATATATATATATATATATATATATATATATACACACACCAATTGGTGAAGTCCCAATCACAATTTCATCATTCCTATTTTAATTACCAATTAATTAAGCATTTTTTCGATCCTAAAATTACTAAGCATATGTGATGCCCAAGCTGATTACCTAGAAGTTAACTACATCGTTTGGTGGTTTGAATGCTAACGAGGGTGTGCCAATTCACTGTCAAGCTCAGCCGGGCGAATAACTTGATTGTTGTGATGTAGTGGAATGTGCTGCTAACTTCTGAATTGAGAAACTTCGGCCGAGGAAGGAACAGTCTCGGCCTTAAGTTCAAAAGAATACAAGGTTATGTAACTCACTGCGAAGTTCTGGTTCAACAACCTCAACTATATTGGTGAAAATATAGGTCCATCGAATCGGCATTGAACTGTATGGACACTCAAAAAAGATGATTGTTTTAATCGTCAAAATGGTTCGGCTGTCTGTTGGCTGAACTTTAAAATGTGACATGAGAATAACGAATCATAAAAGACTTCGCTTCGTCGAGAAGGATAATGAAGTGACCAATTGAGAGAAAAAGTTGTTTACCAACTTCTTGCAGGGCAACAAGGATGTGTGTTCACCTGGTCTGCGGAAGACATGCCTGGGATTGATCATTCTGTGATATGCCACCGCCTCCATTAGGTGCAACTACCGGACCAATTATCCAGCGGACGCGAAATTACGAAACGGAGCGGAGCAAGATCATAGAAGCCAAGATTGACAAGCTAAAAGATGCCAACTTCATCATTGAGGTGCATCATCCAGACTGGTTAACGAACGTAGTGCTGGTGCAAAAGAAAATTGGCAAGTGGAGAGTATGTGTGGACTTCACGAACCTAAACAAAGCTTGCCCAAGGGATTCGTACCCGCTCCCATGGATCGATTTGCTAGTAGACTGAACTGCAGGTCATGAATTGCTAAGCTTCATGGATGCCTACTCCAGATACAATCAATAAAGATGTATGAGCCAGACATGGAAGGGACATCCTTCGTTATTGACCGAGGTACATACTGTTACAAGGATATGCCCTTTGTTCTTAAAAATGCAGGGGTAACATACCAATGATTTGTCAACCAAATCTTCAAAGAAAAAATGCAAGAGTCACAATCTCTAGACATTATTAAAAGTTTTACCGAATTTTCTAAATCATCTCGATCATCTAAGAGGGATATTTGATCAATAAGAGACAATATTGTCTTCTCTCCCATGGTTGCAGCGGATTGCTACAATAGGCTTAGGTTTAAGATTCTCAATGCCAACTGCCAATAAAAAGCCGCACGGCAAGGATTATCAATTTGTGTGAGGCTTAAAAAACATAAAGCGGCAGCGAGTAAATTTTGATTTTGGGTAGAATGGATTGTCCAAAACACAAGACAATCAACAAGTTAGGGGGCCGGCAACCAAGGAAGCTACACGGCAAGAATAGATTTTTTGGGTTTAGGCATTCTTTTTTCCCTAAGGAAGAGATACGTCGAAATTTGCTCTGATGCCAAGATAAAAGTGTAAAACTATATGAGAGTTTTACAGTTTGAATTGTTGTTTGTATTCTTCTCTCAAGGAGAAAGTATATATAGAAGTACAAGGATATCTAGTACATTTAATCCTATTTTAGGAACATTGAATCTCTTTGGTACATTGACACATGCCAACAATAGGTAGGCTCGTCCTGCTCAAAATCATTTATGCTCGAAGAGATAATCAACTAAAATGGGAAAGGGAGAGAGCAGAAACTTAAAGACAAGATGGAGGAGCTAGTGATTAAGCAATTCGTACTACAAGATGAAAATTCTTTTTGAAGTCAAATACGAGTAATTCAGACTCATCTACCCGCGTATGGTGAAATGAGGAACTTTGACTTAATTGGATTTACTTGTATGCTAAAATACATGGGTATGGAATGCCTTGGGTTCATGCTACAACAAGTTATCAGGAGATATTTGGGGAACTCGTTGGTGATGGAGAGTATCATTCAAATTATGAACTCTAACAATTTTAACACATAGATTAATTTAGACTAGCAATCGGCACACTACGCTATACATGTGCAAGTCAATTTTTTTTTTGTTGTGGTATGAGTTATAATCAATGTGCAATGTATACGTCATTTTGAAAAAAACATTCTTTTCATTGTAGTATGTGTTACATGAACTTATGAAAAACAATTAATAACATTAGAGAAATAAAACCAAACTTATGAGTTAGACAATACTTTCAGAATTTATAATAATTTGTAAAGATATTGTTACATGAAACACTAAAATCATCACTAAATGCAGTACATCTCCCAAAAGTTGTATAATATGGAACTCTACTTGGATGAAAGCAAGCCCTGCAACAAAGAGTAAAAACGATCGAATGCAACAAAATAAGTAATTGAGGAGTGATAAATCATGATTAATATATGTATTTCAATGACAAATCTAAAGAATTGCAAGGGATTTTTAATGCTTAAAAATTTCTTGCTCCAACCTCGCATAAGATGCAAAAACTAAATAATGAGGCTCATACCTTTGTAACATTGGATGCCCATTCATGGTGGGAGTGGTTCCAGTCTAGGATTCGTGGGTCAAAGAGGCAAGGGGCGGCAACAGAGGGTTCATGGGGGAAAATGTAGAGGATGTGGGAGAAGTTGTTGGGTGGTAGGTCTGGCGGAGGGTGATTAGGGTTTTGGAGGAGAGGAAGAGCCTACATAATTTGCAGGTGGGTTAGAGGCAAGCAGGGTGGGAGAAGGGGATGAAGGAGGTGGGGTAGTTAGAGCTATTGAAGAGGATTTTGGTGAGAAAAATGCAGTGGGAAGCCGAAGAGATTTGATGAGAGAGAAGGATGTGTGCCAAATGAGATTTTTTTGAGTGCTAATAATAATTTCATTTTTAAATAGAGTCTATTATTATTACCTGGTTGTGAGGTTCACATAAAAATCAATAAAATTTGTGGTCATGTAATTACTAAATTACTAATATTTTTTTATTTCTCTTCAGTTTTAATTAGAGTGTTAAAGTGGTAATTCCATAAAGATTTAGTTGACAACTAGAGTTCTATTAATATAGTTTTAGGTTCTGACAACACTAAGCAATCATATATTGGAAGCCTTTAAGGGAAGAGATCCCCATTTTAAAAAAAAATGGGGACATTCTCTTGACCTTTAAATTTGACTTAATGAAATTCTGTGTTTGAGATTATGTGGCCTGTGATTTAATTTTAACCACAGAATTTCATTAAAACCAAATCTAATGGTTAAGAGGTGTCCCTATTTTTTAAAAAAATAAGAATCTCTTTCCTTAAAGGTCTATATATATTATTTGGACTTAGATATTATTTGCGCATTTAGATTTCGGTATTCGTCTTTGGATGCAATATTATAACACTTGGATAGTCATTAAATTTGACTTTCTTAATGGATATATGGTTGTTCCATGGGGTGTGGATGAACCGATGGATGCAAGGGCAACTTCGGAAGACCCAAATCAAAATATTTTGTGTTTAAACCCAAGCAATCCACTGGTGAGGCCTAAACCTAAAAAATTTAGCTTTGGACCCAACGGTCACACTCACATTTGTGATAGCGTTCATATATTAGTAAAACGAAAACTTACGACAACAATAGTGTCATTATTTGCTGCAAAAACTTATCCCACATTTGCGAAAGGAACATCTTTCTCGAAAATGCATATTCCATACTGTAAGAGAAAATTCTACTGTTGCAAATGCGTATTTGTTGATCCTAAAAACTACTTACCTTATGTGGCGCACAGACCGAATAATTAATAAGCTAACAATGTTCTTCGGTCGAATGTTGGGCGTGCCAACTCGTCGGGCGAGCTCGGCTAGGGAGTAAAATGAGTGTTGATGTGGCGTTGGGTGTGTTGCTAACTCCTTGATCTTGTAACTGCGGCCGAGGAAGGAACACGTCTCGGCCCTCGGGTTTCTAGAGCTTGAAGACAAGGTTGCTAATTTTGTGAAGTTCAATATCAAATTCGGCTTTCAGTGTGCCGAATGTAGTAACCTGGTAACACTTCACTTCGCGCGAGAAGGCTGATGAGATGACTCTTCCAACAAGGACTCGGAAATTCTTGTTGATTGGGACTTGGATAAATAACTAAGCGGTCTCGAAGCAGTGCTATTTATCCAAACTGAAGGTGCTCTTTGGTCGGCTGATTCAATGACTCCAATGCTGTTTATCTAAACTAAAGATGTTGCCAGTTGCCTTCATAGTGTTATTTATCCAAACTAAAAGTGTGTTTGCGGGAAAAAGAAAAATAAAAATCAAGGTCTTTAAGAAGTTGTTTGCGCATGACAATTGTGTGTTGATTTGGAGGGCCTTAAATGGTGCATTCCCCTCTCTATTTGGTACTCGCGTTAATGTCAATCAATTTACCTTTCGCATCCACCCTTTGAGCAAGTAAACTAAGTTGCTGATTTCAATCGGCAGCACTTGCATTGTTGAATGGAAAAACCATTCGAACTTTCTGACAAGTAATTAATTTTTCAACTTACTTATCCAATCTCTGAATATGTGGGCCGTTTTGTTTTGTTGGGCTCCATATTGGACTTGTTGGTAAAAAGCCCAAGGAAAAAATCTCCTCTTTAAGCGGGCCCACAGTAAAATGCTCCTCTCATTCTCCCCAGCGCCCTTTCCTCTGCCCAGCGTACTCTCACACCCCTCTTTTGACAAAGAATGGATTCAAATATGGCAAAGTCCTACAGGCGGCGGAGGTCTCCCATCGCACTCTAGGGTTTCTCTCTAATTTCTGTAAGTTCTCTCTCTCTCTCTCTTTACTCTTCAATTCCTTCTTTAGGGTTTCGTATTAGTTTATTTTTTTTAATTTTTTTGCTTTTGTTTTTCTTTCAATTCAATGATTAGGGTTTAGGGTTACATTTTTTTTCAGCTCTTTGTGTGTGTGTTTATTTTTTATTTTTTACTTTTTTTTAACTTGGATCAGTGAGAATCTTACTGGTTTTGTGGGTAATAGAGAATTTGAGTTGGGTTTTGTTGTGTAGTAGAAAGATTTGAGCTTTTATGCCTCGGATTAATTCTACTGCTTTAACTTTGTGAGTGTGATTTGAAGTTCTTGTAGTTGCTTAACTATGTATTCTTGGTAATTGGTGTGGCCCAATTGGTGTCCTGACTTCGAACAAGTTCCCGTGTCAGTTTTTATTTTTATTTTTTTCGTTTAAATTTTACTGAGATGTAGATTGGCCTAACAATAAGTTAGTTTTAACTAGTTCCGATATATATGATCTTAGTCTAATATTATTGTCTTTAATAGGTAAATAATGTAGGTGGCGATCATTGTATGTTTAAATTTTATGTTGGGTCAAACAGTCAAATGATATATGGATAGGTAGAGATGTGATATTCCAAGAGAATATTGTATTGGTAAAGTTGAAGGAGAGAAGTTGAGGTCTTTTGAACGGTAGAAGATAGGAATGTAGGGAGGCTTATTTTCTTTGGAAGCTTTCTAATATTTGGCTATCACCTTGTTATGGATGATTTATTTTCATTCTGATTCTTTTTGTTTGTTTGTTTCCTTGCTCTTTCATTGTTTTGTACATTTGTAAACTTATGCTAGTAGCCTAGGCACCTTGATAGATGGATCTAGTGTATACTTTAGATCTATGTTACTCAATAAGAGTACATTCACTGGGTGCTAATATCTAGTATAATTTTCTGCAGTAATTTCATGCGGGTCACTGCATGGAGGGATTACCAATTTCGTTCAAAAGTAACTGATTGCAATAGCATCCTTACAAAAGAGCTACATTGGGACTTAGTACATATTATTCGATAAATTCTTAGACTGGAGGTTGCTCTGAAAGGTTTGGGGATAGCAAAATAGAATTACTTCATAGTCCAAGAAGTTAGAAGAGAATACATCAACCTTCAACTTTGATGCCCCTGATGCTAAATGTTAATCAGTGTTATGATGAAGTGAGGGGAGGAGCTTGAAAGCATAATTATTGAAATATTACAGCCTTCAAAAGTTGAATAGGAATAATCCTTGATTGAGAAAGATGCTGCATAATTGGTTTAATCAAAATGTCTGGAGTGCAGAGAGATATTATGCCTGCGTGCAATGATTCAAAAGCCATGCAAAGGCGAGAGTTTGTGTGCTTGAAGTTGAGCATATGGCTAGTTGGTGAAATTTATTGACTTGTGTGGAGACAGACTTGAGTGTATCTTCATTCCCTTGTGGTGGCCATCAATTTGGCTTGGGGCTTAGGAAGTTGCTGATTGTTCTTCCCTGTTGTAAGACTAGGTGTTTTTTGTATCCAGAAAACTTATGACATATGTCATGCTTTATTTGGACGGTCTCCACAACCTTTTATTCTTACATTTCATTTTTTTTTCTACTATATGCGTATCTCCTTTAAAAAAAATACACATGTGTGTATATTTTTTTATATATACTCCATAACAGGTTGTATTTGTCTTCTGCATCCATATTCTCTTTGGTCAGTCTAATTGAAGTATGATTTTATTCCATTGTAGCAGTTATTGGTGTCCAAAGTTGTCAACTTGCATTCCTTCTTGCAAGTCGAGGGAGGAGTGCAATGACTTTTTTGTAGTGCTAATAGAGATGTCCTCAATTTTTTGACAAAAAGATTGTTATCATACTTAGCTGAAACCTACGACGCACAGCTACGGCAGTTCTGTCCCGTATTGCGTATTGGGTACGCCTTAGATACGTATCTGGGTTAATGAATACGGCGTTTAACAGATGGATACGGATATCCCTTCCTTTGCCCTTTGATGGGATCTGGTGGAAGAAGGGCTCGCAACGGAGATGACGTGATCTGGTGGAAGAAGGCCTCGCGAAGAAGATGACACAATTTGGTAGGAGGTCGATCTGCCGTTTCCTTTGTTTCTGAAGACAAAAATCACGCCATATTCTTTCTTTTTTTATTTTTTTTATTTTTAAGGGTTTAAATGGGACTAAAGCCCAACACTAACAAAACTACATTGCCCACCGGACCTACACCACTACCATCCTTCCTGTTGTTTGAATTATATAAATTTAAATTTAGATGATTATTTTTTTTTATTGTTATTCAAAATATGTTTATAAAATATATATTTATTATATAAATTTTATTTCCATATCCATGCTGTATCATATCTTAATATTTACAAATGTGCCATATTGCCGTGTCCTATTATATCGTATTGTATCACCGTATCTGTATCCGTGCTTCATTGGCTGAAACTGGTAATATATTTTTAATTCTGCTTCATAGGTAATGATATAAAATTTGGTTTTTCATTGATTTTCTATTTATTGTTTCACATGTATTTTTTGTCTTGGTAACATCAATATTTTATACACTCTAGTATACTTAAAATGATACTAAGTAAGCGCAAGAGTGATCAGAAAATGTCTTTGAGATTGACTGATTTTTTCATGTCTCCAGATTTTTCCGAATAAGAATAAGTAAAGGGTGTCGGTAAGCCTGAGAGAAATGAGTAGAAGCAACAGAAAGCGGTCTTCTAAATGGGATTTGGTAGAAGGGCCTCAATTTGAAGATGCAAATATGCAGGACAACGGTTGGATGGGAAAGGCAGGTAGGGCATTTCATCATAAGGAATCTGGACGTGACTGGCTTTCTCCGGAGACAAATGATCTGCACAGACCTAAGCATGATTTGGATTTGCCATCCAGGGAACCTTTGCCCGGAAGCAGAGGCTCACATAAAAATGAGAGTATCAATAAGGGATGCAATAGATACATGAATGACTCTATGGTGTGGGATGGAGATGGAAATTGCAGCACAAGGATGTCTCCTGGTCTTGATGAGTGGAGAGAACATCGCAGTCGGTCCCCAAAAAGTGGTTGGAGAAGGTCACTGAGGTCAGCCTTGTATTTTTTAACTCATTGTCAGTTCCGACTCACTTTTTTCTTTTTTTCCTTTTTTCTTATGTTAATATAATCTAGATAGCATTTTTTGACGCATATAACAGAAGAAGCTGTTGGTGGATGTTATGTGCAGAGGTAGGAGTAGAAGTAGAAGCAGGAGCAGGAGTAAGAGCCAGAGCTGGAGTAGGAGCCCTGATCGTGGTTATAGGCGGGAATCACTTTTCCTTGACAGAAATAGAGGCAGGCCAGGAATTTCAGCTCAATTGTGCAAAGATTTTATGACTGGGAGATGCAGAAGGGGTAGTGATTGCCAATTTCTTCATGAGGGTAATTCCAATTATGATGATAGCTGGGAAAGTCGACACAGGAAACGTGATGCTTCGAGATACTCTACCCCTCCTGATACCAAGTACTACCCATTAAAAAGTGAAAGATATTCTGTGTATTGTAGTGATTTTGCAAAAGGGAAGTGCCAGAGGGGGTCAACTTGCAAGTTCGATCACCATCGTGCTTCTGATGGATTCAGTAAAGGTTCTACAAATGAGAATACTAGAGAAAGGGAAAATGAAAGAAGGAACAGAGATACTTCTACAGAGCGAGGTGCCGAGCGTGTACCGCACAGGAGTAGTGATATTCCTTGCAAATTTTTTGCTGCTGGAAATTGTCGTAATAAAAAGAATTGTCGGTTTTCTCATCATATTCAAGCTCGTGCAAGTCCTGAAAGAAAGTCACAGGATGGCAGGTGGGGCCCAGGTCACAGTTTAAATGATGCAGGCCCGGCATGGAGTGGTCCAAAATGGAGTGATACCGGGAGTCTGTCAGATGCCGCAATGTTGACTGTAGATAACAGAAATATTGGTGTTCCAGAGGTAAGGTCTAGTGCTTGGTCTGTAGATGATAATAGATGGGGGTGTGATCAGAACAATGAGAACAAAAATTGTGCTGACCGTAGTGTTAGTCATGAAGCAGTTGAGAGGAATGAGAACGATGCAAATCTGTGGAATGAAGATAGTGTGGGTGCTCGTGTGGATCTTCCTAAATTGAGAGATACTGAAAAATGGCTTGGTGACATGTCTCCTGATTGGAATTACACGGTGCAATCCTCCAACCATGTTGGGAAACAAGAGCATAGTCGCATTACTCAAGGTTCAGAACCTTCCACTCAGGTGCATGGTGCTGCTTCAATTATTGAACCAATGGTAGCTGAAAGATCTGATTTTCTGCAGAACAAGGATGTAAGGGTAGATGGAGTTATTTCCGTGCCATATGACAATAGGACTGCCATTGAAGAACCTTCTAGTTTTCGTAATAACCTAAATGTTACTGCAAATATCATGGCCCGCCAAAGCTTTGACCACAGTGGCCAGAGTTCAAGTGCTTTTCCTTTTTCTGGATTAAGCACAATTGGGCAAAGTAAAAACCAAATCCCATGCGGAGGAGTTGTAAAAAGTCCACAAGATACACTGTCCCCAGAGAGTAAATCTGTGACCAAGTTAGATATAGGGGATGCAAAAACTTCACTAGTTGATGGAATTCCTCAAGTTCCAAATTTGGTAGGTGGTAAAGAACTTACGGAACTTACCAATCTTTCAGCTTCTCTGGCTCAGTTACTTGGAAATCGGCAGCAACTTCCACAGATTTATGCTGCTTTAAATTCTCATAATGCACCTCTCCTTCCCAAATCAGAAGGATCCACTGAGCAGCTTTTGGCAGCAGCCATTCAGCACGATCCAATGGTGGTATCTCATAAGCCGTATGATCCTATGTGTGATAGCATAGAACATAGAATTAGTAACAATCAAATGTGTCTTTTGCCAAATAGTGCTGGAAACACAAGCATTGATGGAAAAGTAGAGAACCTGTCAAATGTTGTATCTCCATCGTCTTTACCTAGTGGAGCAAATGTAAACAATTATCAACAGACTAATAATCCACTAGAAGAACCTACACTTAAGGATCACCAATTAAGTCAACATGGTGCAAAGTCTGAGGTTGTCAAGGGAAATGGTGCACTTGGGGCCGAGGAAAGCAAGAGCGCGCAGGAAGAGAATAATTCCCCAGAGAATGGTCCCATGGAGGTTACAGGGGGCAAGAAACTCAAGGAAGTGAAGGGGAGCCGTGCATTTAGATTTGCGCTTGTGGAAAATGTCAAGGAGCTTTTAAAACCCTCATGGAAAGAAGGTCAAGTCAGCAAAGATGCTTACAAAACGATAGTGAAGAAGGTGGTTGATAAAGTGACCAGTACCATGCAGGGGGCTAATATTCCCCAGACTCAAGAGAAGATTGACCATTATCTATCATTTTCAAAACCGAAGCTTACTAAACTTGTACAGGTAAGTGCTGATATTGTTGATTAATTTATGCTAGCTGCATTCTCTCTTTTGTTTAGGAATACTTCTTTGTTGGCGTATGTTTTTATTCTTAAATGAAATCCAGTTTTAATTAGTGTCTTTTTTTCTTTCTGTTTTTAGGTTGCTAGTCCTGTGGATGAGTCCATTGCTTCGTACTTTTTCTCTGTTCTTAATGAAAATTTGGTTTCGATAAAAAAAGAAATATATTATTAAACTTCATTTTTGAATGCATTAGGTCCATTTTTGAATGCATTTGAGGTCATCTTTTCCATCCTTTTCATTATCTAGCTTCATTCTATTTACCCACCATTTTGAGTCTGTGATTTCTTATTTGTGTTTTGATGTGTCTGTAGAAAGGTGATAACACTTAAAACCAAAGCGGGAATATTAGTGGTGTGTGCAGTTTAGCCGTTTTTCTGTTTCTTGACAATGTCACATTTAAGACTTTTGCTGTTTAGTAATGGACACCTCCGTATAATTTTGGCCATTTTTGTTAAATAAGGTCACATGTAGCTCCCATGATCATTTTTAAAAGATATTCCCAACTCTTATCTCTCTTCTCTTCTCCATCTCCTCTCTCCTTTCGTTGAAGAAAGAATTTGAATCCATTCCTCTAATCCCCCAGTGTGCCGTCGCTACCTGCCTTCAAAACCCCCTGCTCTCTAAATATAAGCTTGGGCGCATTTGGGTATGCAGAGAAAAGTCCAGTGTGTCTACATATTTCACGGAAAATTGCATGGGGAATTTCTCAGATTTTTATATTTTTCTATGCCTGTGGTGATTCTGGTGGTTTTTGTGCAATCCTTACCAAAACTTTTCTTACATTGAATTTGCATTGTAGCTAGTTTCTATTGTGCCGGATGATATGATATCCTAGTTGATTTAAAATATATTATTCATATTAAGAAATGGTTGGTTCTGAGTTACGCCTAAGGAAAACTTTTGTGTTCTAGTTATGTTATTATTACATTGAAGTTTATTCTTTTAAGAATTACTCTTCTGCACAGAGGCGTATTTATGAAATTTAAAACTAATAAGATGAGGCGTTGAGTACGTAGGCAGCGTGTGACATCTAACTCAGAAGTTTTGGCATGTAGTATTGTAAATTTGAAGTTGATTTTTGTTTTTGCTTTTTCCCTCTATTGTCTTGTTCCAATACAGCATTACACTTTATAATTTCTAATCCGCGGAGTTTAATATGTGGATGTTAATTTTGGAATTGTTTTAACAAGGCCGTGTGCCCTTGCCTACTTTGACTCTGTCATATCCTGTTTATCATCTGTTTACTCTGTTACAAATTTAACGCAGTAAATTTTGTGGCAATGTTTCTTACGGTATCGGTATTCACATTTGCTGCAGGCATATGTAGAAAAAATGCAGAAGGGTTAAAAGAGACACAACTTGTGTTTGTTCGCTTCTATTGTTTTACAAAATTCCGCCTGATGTTCCCGGTGTGTTTATGCTCCGGCAGCCTTTGGATCTCTGAGGTTTTCTTTTCTTTTTCCGGTTACATGAAACGTCTTACTTTTTTATTTTTTTTTTTGTCATTCCCTTGATGTATACTATTTGGTGCAAGGATAGTTGAACTCTAGGACTAAGATGGGCATATGAGAGATTAATTATTCTTCCTCTTGTGTGTAATGTTGTTGCTTCTTTCTTTTTTTTGTTGTTTAAATAGGCAATTATTATTTTTTGGTTAACATGTCGTGCAGGTTTGAGTAATTTTGGGTTTACTTCTTTTAATTGGACATGTTTTCCTTTTGGTGTAAATGTGTAGGAAGACATGGCTGAAATTTGGTAATTTGAGTCCTAAACCTGATTAAATCTAGTCCTACCGATTTGGGATGGTTGGAAAGGATAAATGTTTTTCTTGTGTATCTTCTACCTTAAAGTTGGTCACAATTTTTTTTATTTCTTCTTTCACCTTAGGTTGAAAATATGACCGGTTTGAAGGTAGGAGATGGATTATCAAGAAGAAAATTTATCAATTCCAATCGTCCCAAACTGTTAGGATTAGAAGGGAGAAGTTTACTTCGTATTTAATCCGCTTCTAACCTCCTCAAAATGAAAAGGAATTCTCCTTTACCTTCAATAGCTAAATAGAGTTGAAACTCTTTTCAAGACTTAGAGCCTGTTTAGTATTCTTCTGAAATTTAATTTTAATTTTTCAAAAATGATGTAGACAAATTACTTAGGGTTAATTACATTTCACACAGTTGGAGTTTGGTGTATTTTCAAAATTGGGGATTTTCCAAATTGTTATTTATATTATAAGGTATACCGAATAAGCCGCATCACACTGACAAAAATAATCATCAATTGAATAAAAGATCAGATATTCAAAAAGACAAAACGTGTCGATATGTACAATTTCAAAACTTCTAAGTGTAATGTGAGAAAATTATAATCTTGTGGCTTATTTTGAATATTGTCTCAAACCTGAAAGGTGTAAAATGAGCTACTTAAGCATTCCACATTAGGTCCAAAAAGTTTATCAAAAAGTTTAGCGTGATGGCAATATATTAAACCCATCCAAGAATCAAACGATTAACTCTTTCAAGTTGTCAAGAAATCAAATTTTAAAGTTAAATATACAAAAAAAGAAATCAATATCCAGATTTAAAAAAGAAAAAAGAAAATAGGGGATGTGAATCTGAGTGGAATAATGAGGACCTATAAACAGAGACAAAAAGAAATGATGTTTGTTTCCCACCCCACCTTCCTATCCATCTCCAACTTTCACATCAAAGGGCCAGCTCCAAGCCAACCCTAGATAGTAGATGTTATTCCTTTTTTCATTTTTCCACGTATTATTATGACATCACAGGCACGTCAGCCCCCACGCGAGCAATCAGCCAAGTTAACCTAATTATCAAACGTCTCCCTCCCACAAATTCCATGTACATTTCTTTCTCTCTCATTTCCACTTTATTCTTAGCACATCTCCACCCATCAATTTTTGCCAGTCTTTCCAGGTCTTTGCGGTGTAGAGCCTCGGAATGGCAGCAGCTCCAGCGCCAAGCTTAGTTCGTTTTGACTGACCTCAGTCACATTCTTTTTTTCCGTCAAGCGTGCGCATTTGGCGTTATAAAAATGGTGTGGGGTTTGTCACAACGGTCGACTACTAGGCTCCCAAACATCTACTCCAATGAATTCAAAGATAATATTTATTTATGGACAATTCAAAGATAAGGCTGAAGATAAGATAAGAGTATACAATGCAAAAAGAACGACCGAAATCTAATTGAAGATCTCAACAAAATTTCTAATAGATACAGCACATGGCACAGTCATATATGAACCTATTCTAAATTAATTTCATCTGCTAAATAACTATTAAATAATTGAATCATACACGAAAAATAAAATAAGTTATTTTACTAACTATTCACAATAGGTGGAGAGTGGTTAAAGATTAGCCAAGTCAGTTGATTATTCACGAGAAAAGTAATTGCCCCAACGCCACTACGACACTCAAATCCACTAGAATGAGATAGCGTTTATGCATAGTTAAAATACAAACTATTATTTTATAACTTCTTTAGGAGAGACGAGACATATTTATACCGATAGGTCCTATAACTATTATAGCGGTGATACAATATTTGTACACATAAATATGGCTTAGCCTTACTCGACTCTTTTAAGTACAGTAATATAACTGTAGACAACATTTAACAAGGACCCAAAACCAAGCCTTTACAACCCACAATAACCAAAACCAATGTAACCCATAAACGCGAACCTTGGCTGCCATCACAAATGGAAGTCGCGTTGCCATAGAACTCATTGCATCTCGTCATAAAAAAACTTGTGAACTAAACTAGTCTCCACCAACCCAAATGCCCGTAAAAGCAAGTATAAGTCTTGATTTGACTTAGTAGCGAACAACATATTAGCATATCGAAATGAAGAGCGATGGATCAAAAATTAGTGAAAATAAGAGATATCAGGGGTGGACTTGGCATGAAGGAGAAGCAAAAAAGCAGTGGTGGGGAACTCAATTATGGACATGGATCAAATCAAACCACCATAAGAAAAATCATTGTAATTCTATTTAGACACAAAGCTGATTCTATAATAGAAGTGATCCGTGTAATCTACGTTGGACTCCCCAATATTATAAACTGGATCGATAAATGTGTTTGTTTTGTTTATCAAAATAGCACTGCTAATAATTATCAAGCGGTTAACATGAGGTGCCGATTTGAAGGTCAAGTAACCATAATCTTATCTTGCATGCTACATAATACATCATTACTAATTCCCGAAGTGTGAGCATTTGTTAGAATGTTGAGTAATTCCTTCATATGAGGCGCCTATATGGACTATAAAACAATTATATATCCCTACATTTGTCTAATGATCATCTTCGTACATGATACTGGCCGTGAGATATGATTTATATGAATCACAGGGTACTTACTAAATAGTACTGACTAGCCTTTTTGAACAATTTTTGGTGTGGATCTACTGCCCTAACATTTCGATAGATTATTCTAGATGAAAAGTTATACAATTTTGTATAGATGTACTGAAATATTTTCATGTTTTTGGTATAGTTGAAATTGTATCTTGGTCAGATTGTGCGACTCAGTAGTATAAACATCTTTAAAATTTATATGTAATTAAAATAATATCAACTGAATCAGCAATACTTTTTCTTGGAGCCTCTAATTAGTCAATTTCATGTTAAAAATAAACATTTTAACTCTAAATTGTGTGGTGTTCAATAAAACCACCCATATGTTAATCATTCTATCTTAAGTTTAACAAGACGATAAAGTACAAACAAACCATTATTCTGAAATTATAGCTAGGAATATATAATTAACCAGCAGATTGCTGGTATTATGCCAATAAATCGATGAATAAGGCCCACCAAATATTTAAAACTTAGAAAAAAAAACCTCAAAGGCATTGAAAGATTACCAACCCTAATTGAAGAGATGATGACAATATCATACGGTGGTTTGGAATTTGAGAAGTTTGTGGTAGATGCGGGGTTTGGGTGAGGCATAAACAAAAGTAAATAGCGAAAGGGGATTAGAAAGGTGAGAAGCTTTTTCTCTGCACAAAGTAAAATAGGCCCTCTTTCACAAAAATCATAATGATATCTTTACCGCCGATGCCGATACCGATGCCGATATAGAGAAGGTAGATTTGCACCCAAGATTCATCATCATTACCCTCTAAATATTTCTTTCTTTCGTGCCCCTAAACAAATCCTGAACCCTACAGAAATAATCCAAAAGGAGCCCTAGAAATTGATAGACTTATGAATTTATAACCCCTCTCACTTTCCTCTCACTTTCCTTTTCCTTTCTTTTTGAAAGCTGTTGCGGTGACCAGTGAATCAGTGACGAGTGATTATTTTCACTTGTGATGTACTGTGTATGCACACTCATATTTCAGATCTATTCTTCTATTATTGTGTACTCATCTATATGTCCACTTTTACTCGGTCCCCGCAAACCAAAAAACAAAACAACCCCTTCACTTTTATGCTTGAGGGAGGTTGCACTTGCACATGCTTTCCATGCAACCAACTTCAAACGACAAACTTTGGTAATTAAGCTCGCAAATAAACCATGTAACAACGTGATATTTTGGTGATTAAGCATACTTGTCATCTATTGTTGACCTCCACCAAACAGTGAAATTCCATTATTAAGTACTCGTGAGACATGTTACTTACTATACTCCATGCTTTTGATGTCAAATGGCAACAGGTGTTGCACTATTTAGTACTCTACGTGAGCGTTTGTTGCGTGGGACATGCTTAGGTTGGAGTAATACATAGTAGGACTTTGTTTAGATAGACATTTTTTTTTTTTTACAAACGGTTAATATATATTAAATTCATCTAAACTAAGAAGAGGAGAAATTGAATGCAGGACCTCAGGTGGAAGAGCGAATATTCTTAACCAAGCAACTTGCTGGAGTAGATAAACTTGGCTTATTAAGAGTTTAACTTATTTAAAATGGCTTAAATTATGAGAATTGTTATTGGTACTCTAAAATTCTTATTTTGCACTCCAAGCTTTCAATCTTTAGAAAGAAAAATACACTTGTGAGGAGTACAAAATGAGATTTTTGGAGTGCTCCATAAACCCTTATTAGTGAAGGTGTAGCTGCTAATTAATTCAGTTTTAAAATAGTACTAGGACCTTCCGGATTCAAACTATCCCTCTCTTTAGTGTAGCTTAGAGTAATAGTATCAAATATAACAAAATGAATGTTCCATAACTAATGGATTACTTAAGAAATTTTATCTTTAAATTTAAAAATGCTTTTTTTTTGGGTTGAAATTTGAAAAGTCTTTAGAGACAAAAACCAAACAGAAACGGTGTCAGTGTGTGTGGGCCCAAAATATTGGTGTGGGTTGAGTTAGGAGTTGTTCTCGGCCCGGCAGTATGATTCTAGAATTATCGCAAATTCTAGTTATTATGGGCCGCTCGATTAAGATTGGCCTGAGTCCTAGTATGAGACGGATTGATGGGAAAGCAAATCCTAGCATAACAAGGAGTCTCAATGGGATGAGGCATGCTGAGATTTGAGAAGTGAATGTGGTCAGATAAAGAGTTTGGTTCAAAGCCTAATGGAGGTAGGATTGGCCGATACTTGGTTAGATTAGGATT